CATAAGGTCACTATGGGTTATACTCAAAGGCACCAACCACTACCAATGACAACAATATTTGTACAATAAGGATTTAGGAGATTTTACAAAACAATTTAAATGAATGAGCTTTCTTTTTCCACACTATCTTGTAATTTGAAAGTCATCAATATCTCATAATACATTGAGACATGTGTTTAGTGCACAGTCTGTTGCTGTTGGCTTGTTTAAACATGGAGAAGGAGAAAGAGTGAAAGCATGTATGAGATTATATCAGGATTCTTCCAGCAATAAATTAAAGTAAGAGGACATAAGAAATGTTTCTTAGAAAATCTAGTTGGGTAAATATTTACATATGGAACATTGAGTAATAAGTACAAGAACACAATCTTTAATATAAATTTGATAATGTGCAGAAAAATTTTCTCATACATTTCCCTGTGATGGTCCTTAATAAAACATAAGGTTGTGTTGTTAATTCCTATCATAATGTCAGAAACTAAAACAACATAAAAATAAATTGCATCCTAATGAATCACAGAAAACATGAAGGAATAAAGGATGAAACATTCTCATATCTATACCTTAATTAGATTTTTAGAACTTTTTATAATAAGGAGTTCAATAATGTAACTTCAGAATATTCAAAATTTGGAAAATCTTCAGCAGAGGAAGTAAAATAACATTTTGAAGTTATTTGAATATGTATTTCTTCAAATCAGTACAACTGAAAATTTTACAAAAGAATGAGAGTGACATTCTTGTAGAGGAGGATTTACTGTTTTGGTTGGTTTGTTTTTTGTTTTTTTTTTTTTTTTTTTTTCAAAAGTAGCTTAACATCTCTTTAAAATATCAAACAACTGTCTAATTAAATCCTCAGTAGTTTTCACTGGGAACATTAAACAAAAGTTTGTAGTGACCTGAAAGACATTGAGAGGAGGAATATTTATCTTCGTTTATTACAAAAGTACTTTAAAAGTTTATATAATATTTTAAAGCATTTGGAATGATTTTGTTTGCCAAGAAATTCTAGGTCATAATAATCACGCAGACATATACATTTTTGGCATATTGAATATAATTGTTATATTCCATCTGGATACTAAAGAAAATCTGCAAAAAAATATTGGTTTTTGTTGTCATTGTTCATAATAAATTATCTTTATTCTCCCTGACAGTAATTGGATAGCAGTTTTGTACCTTCCTTAGAAGCATCTCTGTTGTTGTCCCTGTTGTTGTGTGCTGCTGAGTTGGAACTGACTCATTTCTGACCCTCCAGCGGGTTTCTAAGGCAGTAAATCACATGGAAGATTTCTCATCCTTCTCCCGTGGACCACTAGTGAGTTTGACCTGTGTGCCTTTGGAATTGCAACACAGCTTCATACCACTAGGCCATCATGTTATTGCAACCATGATATCAAAATAAGAGTTGGTCTTCTTCTTCTCTCTTCTCCTTCTCTTTCTGACATTCTTTTTCACAATATTTAGTAAAAGCTTCCAGGTATTCCATATAGGACTACTTAGAAAAAGGCAAATGACAAATATACTTCCTTTTCTTCCCAAATTCCATAAATTGTTGGAGGAAGAAGAGAAAGCAGGGCTAACTTGCTTAATCCAGATTAAAACTCCAGAGGAGTGTTTCGTGAGAATTAACGAATAAAAGGATTTTGCCACATTTTGTTTATGGTACTCTGGTGGACATCCCTTTCCATACTGTCTCATACTAATTTAGTGAGAGTCATGTAAGAATAAACACTGTGGCATTTAATTGTTAAGCTACCCAAAACAGGAGTTTCTAAACTCTTCTAGGATAAAGAGATGGAAGTAATTAAAATTTCAAGTGTACAGCAAGTTTAAGAGTTTGATGGAGGTGTTTGTTTGTTTGTTTGTTGTAGAGAATTAGGGAGACAAGCCAAAATTTCTGCAAAGCTGGATTCTCTGAGCTGAGAACTTCAATAGACGCCAATATAGGAAAAGTATCACAGATTTCAAAAATGCCACTGGAACAAATTATACAACACTGTGTTTATTGAAAGACGACAGACAAAATGTTACAAAGGAACAGAAATTAATCCAGAGTCGTCAGCAGCATATCACCATTATAAACCTTGGCAATGGGATGAGATATTCCTCTCTTCCGCTGCCACCAATCTAAGGAACACCTCAAAGGGCCTAGAAAGCAAAACAAACTACTGAAGTACACACACACACACACACACACACACACACACACACACACACACACAGAGTTGTTGTGAGATGCCATACAGTTAAGAACAACTCATTGAGATTCTACAAATAACAGACTTAAGTCCTGTGATGTCTCATGCCGTCATAATCATCTCTGACATTCTTCAGCATGAGGTCCAGTTTCTCGAATGAGAAGATTGGCATACAGATTTAATAGCTATGGGGAAAGAATAAAACCCTGACACACACCTTTCTTGATTTTGAACCATACAATGTTCATTTGCTCTGTTCAGACAACAGCTTCTTGGTCTGGGAATAGATTTCTTATGAATATAATTAAGCATTATGGAATTCTATTCTTCTCACTATTTGCCATAATTTCGTATGATCCACATATTCAAATGTCTTTGCATAGTCAACAAAATAAAAATGGATGTTCTTTACGTATTCTCTGCTTTTAGCCACGGCCCATCTGATATCAGAAATGGTGTTCCTGGTGCCACAGCCTCTTTTAAACCCCACTTGAACTTCTGGAAGCTCAATTTCAATGTATTGTTCTAGCTGTTTCTGGATGATCTTCAGTAGTATTTTTCTTGCATGTGGTACTAATGATATTGTTTGACTTTTTTACACTCTATTGGGTCACTTTTCTTGTAAACAGGAACAAATATAAACCTCTTTCACTCATTTTAGCTGTCTTAAAATTTTCCAGGCATAGGTTGATCAGTAGTCATAGGTCTGCATCTTTTAGTTGTTGTTGTTGATTGCCTTCAAATCAAGCATGACTCATAGCGACCCTATGAACAAAAGGTCTGAAGCCCCTCTACAACTACCGACATTTATCAAAGTTCATATTGTTTCCGGAGGCATGTTGTTTAGGAAGTGGATGTCACTCCTGCTTCCAAATATGTTAGTTAAGATATGACAACTAGTATCCCATTGATCCACAGGGCCTTATTTTTACCAATGCTTTCAGTAGAGATTTAAATTCTCTTTCATTACCATAGGCTCTTTATAATATGCTGCTTCATGAAGTATGTCAGTGTTGACTAATTCTTTTTGATACAGTGACTGTACATTCACTCCATATTCTTTTGCAGCTTCCTGGATGATTCAAGATTTTACCCACAATGTTTCTCAATATTACAACTTTATTCTAGAATTTGTTTTTCAGTTCTTTCATCTTTAGGAATGCTACACCAATTCTTTGCTTTTCATACTCCAACTCCAGCTCTTTACACATTCTGTTATAATAATTTGCTTTCTTAAGCTGCCTTTTGAAAACTTTTGCTCATCTCTTTTACTTCTGCGTCTCTTTGCTCAGATTTCTCAATTGTCTAGTTCAATTTCAGACTCTTCTGACATCCATTTTGGTCTTTTCTTTCTCCTTTGTCAATGCAATAACCTTTTTGTTTTCTCTTTATTTATTATATCATTGATATTGATATCACACCACAACACATCTGGTCTTTAGTCAGTAACGCTGAGTGCTTCAAATCTCTTCTTCAGATAATTTTTAATTTTAGATGAGATAGACTTAAAGTTATATTTTTGTTCTTGTACACTAGTGTTAGTTTTCTTCAGCTTCAGTTTGAACTTTCCCATGAATAATTGTCTGGCCTTATTCCAATGATTGTTACCACAGATGTAGTCAATCCAATTTCTGCACAGCCCGTCAGGTGAAATCCACATGTATAAACAAGGTTTGTACTCCTTTAAAAGATTTGCAATAAATAAGTCATTGAATGCATGAAGTTCAATCATTTGTTACCCTGTCTCATTTCTGTCACCAAGTCTATCCTCTTCTATGACCACTCATTGTTTCCAACCTTTGCACTCTAGTCATCAATTATTATTAATGTATCTTGACTGCATGCTTTGTCAGTTTCAGACTGCAAAAGTTGGTATAAATCTTTACTTGCCTCCTCTTTGACTTTAGCTGTTGATTGTATACATGAATAATAGTTGTATTAACAGGTCTTCCTTGTACATGTATGGATTGTATCCTAAGACTTGCATAATTGTACTTCAGCGTAGATCTTGAAACTGTCTTTTTAAAAAATTAATAGAATGCATTTCTTCCTCATTTTCCATTCACTTTCAATCATCCTTAGTCATTGTCCAGCTTTCTGATGCATAGCAAACAATTACAAAGTCCATGGGCTGAATCAGGCACACTTAAGTCTCCAGACTGACGTTGTTGCTCATTGGTACTTTGAGAGGTCTCTGACAGCAGACTTCCCCAATGCAATTCATCTTTCAATTTTCTGGCTGCTGGTACCAAGAGTGTTGATTGTCTAACCAACCAAACTGAAGCTGTTGTCAATCTTAATCTCTTCATCATCTGCCATGATGCTGCCAATTGGTGGTGAGAATCTTTGTTTTCTTGATATTGCGCTTCAATATTTAAGGTGTAGTCTTTGACTTTCTGCAGCAAGCACTTCAAATCCCCCTCAGTTTCAGCAAGTGGGGTTGGGTCATCTGCATAACGCAGATTGTTGATGAGTCTTCCTCCAATCCTGATGCCACATTTCTCCTCATATATACCAGCCTCCTGGATAATCTGTTCTGCATATAGCTTAAAAAGGTATGGAGATAGGACACATCCCTGGTGTACATCCTTCTTAATATTGGACCATGTATGATAGCCCTTTACAAAGAATAATCTATCCCAGCAATATGTCTAAAGTATGAGAAGCAAACTGTCAGATATGTGATGTACCTCTAACAATAAACCATAGAAACAATCTGGCATGGTAATATCATGGCACAAGTCAACCTTCTTTTGCCTTAGCTTAGTTTTGGGGTGAAACAGCAGGATGGACACCCACATGGCTCCTGGGGTCTTAAAACTGATGCCTATCCAACTGATGCATCTGAATGGGACATCAGGTGGCTCCCACGGCCTTCCAGAAAAGGACCTAGTGGATGGTATGTCTGAATGCGACCCTGAGCTGTAGTTCCTGAATATACACAGACATATACATATGTGTAAATGTGCATATATGTGCAGGTTTTCAGAGGCAGTTAATCACACAAGAGGAAATTGCCCATATTGTTCCTGCAGAGCAGCTGGTGGATTTGAATCTCATGCTTTCAGCACTGCAACACAGCTTCTTAACACTAGGCCATACGTATATATTCTTGTTCTTGTTATGTGCCGTCAAGTCGCCTGTCCTGAGACAGTCTCACTGACTCTAATATGCCTACCACCCCTTTCCCCAGCTACTGTATCAATCCATCTCACCCAGGTGCTTCCTCTCCTGCACTGTCCATACACCCATCTGAGCATGATGTCCTTCTCTAAGAAGTGGTAACACCTGGCCACATGCCCAGCGTAGAGAGGTGGAGTTTCAAAATGACAGCCTCCAAGGAGAAACTTGGTTTTACTCTCTCCCAGAGAGTTTTCTTGGTAGTCCATGTATGTTCAAGACACTTCTCTAGCACCACAACTCAAAGGTATCAATTCCTCTTCTATCCTTCTTAGTCATCATCCAGCTCTCTGATGCACAGCAAGATCATGGACTACTTCAGGCTCACCTTTGTCTTTAGACTGACATAATTGTTTCTCAGTACTCTGGAAAGGTCCCAGAGAGTAGAGTTACCTAATGTGATTCGCCTTTTGATTTTCTGACTGCAGGTCCCAAAAATGTTGATTGAGGAGCCGAGCAAGCCGTAACTGTTAAAAATCCCAATCTCTTCCTCATCTATCGTGGTGCTGCCAATTGTCCCAGTGGTGAGAATGTTTGTCTTCTTGATGTTGAGTTTCAATCTATATTAAAGATTACAATCTCTGACCCTTCAGATCCTCTTCAGTTTCAGCAAGCAAGATTGTGTTATCTGCATAACACATGTTGTTAATGAATCTTCCTCCAATCCTGATGCTACATTCCTCCTAATAAATCTCAGCCTCCAAAATGAACTGTTCTGAATATAGATACACTCCCATCCTGATTTTGAACCATGCATTGTTTCCCTGCTCTGTTCTGAGGACTGCTTCCTGATGCAAGTACAGGTTTTGCATAAACACAGTCAAGGATCTTGTATTCCCATCTTCCTGGATCTGTTGTGATCCACAGTCAAATGCCTTAACATAGTCAATGAAACACAAATATACATTCCTCTGGAACTCTTTGCTCTCTGCCAATATCTATTTGACATTGGTTATAAGGTCTCTAGTGCCATGGCCTCTTCTAAACCCAGCTTATACTTCTAGTAGTTCTCTGTCAGTGTTCTCCAATAGTTTCTGGATAGTCTTCAACAATATTTAGCTTGTGTGTGATATGAGTGATATGAGTGATATTGTACAATACTTCCACACTCTGTCAGATGACCTTTTTTGGAATGAGAATAAATATGAATCTCTATAAATCAGTTGGCCAAGGTAGTTGTCCTCCAGATATCTTCATACAACATTGTGAGCATGTCCAAAGCATCACCTGTTGAAATATGTCAATTGGTAGTCCATCAATTCCTGGGGCTTTATTTTTTGTCAAGTCCTTCAGAGCAGGCTGAACTTTCTCATTATGACCATTGTTTCCTGATCATATGATCATATGTTGTTTCTTGAAATTCTTCTGTGTCAGCCAATTCTTTTTGGTACAGTGACTTTGTATACTCCTTTCATCTTCTTTTAATACTTCCTGGATCATTCAATATTTTGCCCATAGCATTCTTAAGTATTGCAACTCTAGACTTTAATTTTATTTTTAGTTCTTTCAGCTTAAGAAATGCCTAGCAAATATGTATGTGTGTATATACATAATATTTATACACACTGTATATATTATGTACACATATTGTTGTTAGGTGCCATTGAGTCAAGTATGACTCATGGAGAGCTTAGGTATAAAAGATCTAGAACCCTGTCTATCCTGTGCTATCCTCACATTTTCTGACTCACTAAAGCCCATTGCTTAAGTCACTGTGCCAATCCATCTGGTTGAGGGTCTTCCTAACCTTCACCAACTATCCACCATTTCTAGTATCATCCCTCTTTGCAACATGCCCAAAATATATAAGGTGAAGTCTCATTATTCTTGCCTCTAAAGAATACTTCAGGTGTATCCTCTCCAAAACTTATAAAGTTTGTTGTTGTTAAGTGCCGTCGAGTCGTAGGTGACTCATAGCAACCCTATGAAAGAAAGTCCTCCATCCACAGTTGAGTAGTTGTGTGACTTTTATCCTTTCTCCATGTTCGTGGGGTTTCCCAAGGCAAGCTATTTACGGAAGTGTATGACACTCCTGCTTCCAAGCTTGTTTTAGCTGGGGAGCGCCACCAAACACTGTCAGCCATGGGTAACCGTTATCACATTTGACAGTGTCACAGTGTTCAGCTTCACAGTGAACACAATTTGCTTCTGTGCGGCAAGTGGACACACCAAGGCTATATGACCTAGAAAAATGTTTAACCAAAAGCAATTAAAGACAGGCTTTAGGGCTGCAGATTAGAGTCACCCACCTGTGGCTTGGTAGCATGGCATTTGGTCCAATAGGCCGACTGGTCTCTCCCTACGTTGTTAAGTGCCATCAGGTCACAGGCGACTGACTCATAGCGACCTTATGAATGAAAGTCCTCCACAACTGCATGACTTTCAACCTTTCTCCATGTTTGTAGAAGGAGAATTGAGCTGTGGTGCCAGAGAAGAGTATTGAGTAGATCATGGACAGCTAAGAGAATGAACACGTTCATCCTGGAAAGGGTGAAGCCAGGCTTCTCCTTGGAAGCAAGGATTCTGAAGCTCCATCTGACATATTTTGGACATGTTGTGAGGAGAAACCAGTCCTTGGAGAGAGACCTTATGCTTGGGAGGGTGGAGGGACAACACAGGAGAAGAAGACCCATGATGAGATGGATTGATTCAGTGACTGGAATAATGGAGTAGGTGTATTAGAGACAATAAGACTGGCACAGGATAGAACAGGGTTTAGCGCTCTTGTACATAGGGTTGCTATGAGTTGCAGGCAACTTAATGGCACATGACAACAAATTTGAGTATAAAAGTCTTATCCTGGCAGGTAGTCTGCTACTTTTCCTTAATTATATCTCACACGAAACAAAATTAGAGAGCCAATTTTCTGTAAGCCAATGGATAGGGTATGTAGAGATAAAGAATGACAGAGGGGGAAGTTAGTCATCAGACAAAAGGAAAAGTGAGGCATGTTATTATTAGAGTCACATCTCAGACTTAAAATTTAAAGACTTTTTAAAGAGTATCCAAAACACAATCAATTCACTAATTGTAATTCAAGCCATATATGCTATATTCTGGAATGTGTTTGGTAAAGGCATACATTGGAGGAATATTTACTTTATAAAGCAGGCTGAGAGAAAACTTGTTTTCAGGAACTCATAAGACAAAGCCAACCTGTGAAGTTTTAGGAAGATAGAATAGTTATGCTGTCGTCTCATGTCATATTAGAATTTATATTAATTTCTCTCCACAAGTCAAACATTTAAGGTAAGAAACTGATTAGTGAGTTAAAGATTTAAGAAGGAACTGCATTAGGAAATGTTGAGACTTCTTACATGCAGCATCCAGCTTTTATTCTGACAGGCTTTCAGCAAACAGCTACTCATGCTGAAGGTTGCTGCTGTTGTGTAGCATAGAGTTGGAACCGACACATAACTGATTGTCCTGAGGCTTAGCCCCATGCAATGTTTGCAAGGGATTTACCTGAGGTCACTGGGAAGCCAGACCCTTAACAAGGATTTAATCATCCATTACAGGTTATCAAACTTTCATCTGGTGTCCAGGATTATTTATTAGTTTAACCAGCTGATAAATAGGAGAAACTCTTTCAGACACAAATCTTACTCTGAATTTCTGGGAAGGAGATATACTTAAAACTCATATTAACAACTCCTTGGTGTTTCTCGGAATCGCATTTCCCTATTCCATCAGCCTGTGTCTTTCAGATGAGTAGAGCCACCTGAGTTTCATGAGTGGGCATATAATTAAGATCTGGCCAATCAGGTAGTCCATCTCCTTGACCATTGTGTTTGCATGACCAGTTCAGCCATGGTCATATGATTATAGTTGGTCTAGTGGTACTCAACCAAGGCATTTTTCTTGTAAGTGGGGGAAGAGAAACTTCCTTTATTGAAGTTGCTACCCTTTGTTGGATGAAAAACTGGAAACAATAGAGTTCACCACATGAACTAAACCAGTCAGAGAATGAAGCCAGTGCAGAGGAAAGCAAAGCCAAAACACGGAGAGACTTGAATCCTGATGACATTATGTGTACTCTTGGCTCCAACCATGCCTGAAGCTAGTATAACTCCCTGAACTGTTCAGTTATGTGAACCAATAAAGTCATTTTTGCTTAAATAAAAAAATCATATTAAATATTCACTATGAGACTGTAAAGAGATAGTGTAGTAGTGGTAGAGTAAAGAGTTTCACTGAAAACCAAAAATATGTCTCTCTGGCAGTTTTAATCCGCCAGAAACTCCAAGTGAGAAAGATAGACAATCAACTTTCATGGGATATACAGCATTGGAAACCCACTGGAAGGTAAACTGTAAGTCAATTTCTATTTAACAGTAATAAAAGAGGACGCTACGGTATTTTATTTAAAAGAATATGAGAACTGAAGCACAAACTGAGATTTGTACACCAATGCTCATACCAGCATTATTCACCATTGCAAGAACAAGGAAGAAGCCCAAATGTCCAGTCACAAATGAATGGATTGAGAAATTATGGTACATTCACACAATGGAATACTATACAGCATGCAGGAGAAATAACTCTGTAAACTATTACCTAACTTGGGAGGGACTGGAGAGCCTTATGCTGAGTAAACTAACTCAGTCACATAAGGATAAATATTGGATAAAACCAATTTATTTTAGAATGAGTATAAGGATCCAGATGTGTAGGAGAGGCTGGAAGCAGAGGGATGTGGATGTGCAGGAGGAAGTGGGGGGCATTAATCACTAGGTTGTACAATTTGATGGATGAGGGGGTGAGGGAAATTGAAAGAGTTTGTTCAAATTTGTATTTGAATTTTGTAAATTAACTATTAGAAAAATTTAAAAATTATTAAAAAAAGAAAAGGAAAACAAAACAAAAAATGAAACTAGTATCCATCACCAAAACTGGATTGACGAGAGTAGATAAACATGTCTTTTATAATAATGTCAATGCTTATTAATAAGAGCTCTGAATTCAATATGTACATAATGAGAACACATATTTTACTTAGAAAAGACTCCTTGTATGATTATTGTCATAGAGAAGAGGAAGAAGAAAAACTATGATTTAGCCATTAATTCGTAACATCCATTCATTCATAAGATAGCTCTTGTGAGAAATTTCTATAACCAAAGGACTGTTTCCCAGCATTCTGATCCTAAAATAAGATGACAAGTGTTTGGAATCCGCATGATAACAGGTAACTTCATCAAGGTTGTATCTCTGGACTAGTAGAAGTGTTTTTTATTATACCTACATTAACTGTATTTTCAGTACTATATCTAATAGTTTTCCTGAGTCATTCATAAAGTTTTGAAAGGCCTGTTATTTCTGAAGTGTATGGCTGAACCTACTTCTTCATCTGTCTAATTGTGTAAACTCCTCTGAAATCTACCTATCATGGGTAACTGTGCTGGTATTTGAAATACTGATGGCATAGCTATCAACATCACAACATCAATAACATAGTTTTCAATATCATGAGTTCATTTTAATTGGATCTACCATTAGCACTTAGAGTAACAGCAGTCAAGCAATCAAAAGTTATGTTGCTTTGGGAAAATATGCGTTGAAACAGCTCTTCAAAATCCAAAAGAGCAGCAAAGTCAGTTTAAAGACTGTGATGTGCCTGATTGAGGTAAAATCTTTTAAATTACTTACTATGTATCTGAAAATTGGATGATTAAGGTTTATGATAGAAGAAAAATCTCTGCCTTTGAATTGTGGTGTTGGAGTAGAGTACCAAGTATCCCATGGACTGCCACAAGAATGGACAAGTCTGTCCTGAAAGAAGTCAAACCAAAGTGCTCCTAAGAGGCAAGTAATAGCGAAACTTGGTCTCACATATTTTGTTCATGTTGTCAGGAGGGCCCAATCCTTGGAAAAATTCATTGTGCTGGGAAAGACGGAGGGTTAGAGGAAGAGCTGACTTCATTTTTCTTTAGCATTTTCTAGTATTTTTTTAATGTTGCTGTTAGTTGCCACTGAGTCGTAGGCTACTCATAACGACCTTATGAAAGAAAGACCTGGACACCTGTATAACTTAAGTCCTTTCTCCAGGTTTATAGGGTTTCCAGAAGCATGCTATTAGAGAAGTGGATGCCACTCCTGCTTCCAAGTTTGTTTTAATCGGGAAGCTTCACTAAACACTGTCCACCATGGGTAATCATTCTCTCATTTGACTCATCAGTGTCACAGTGTTCAGATTAATTGCAACCCCGAGGTACCTCTGTACAGCAAGTGGACATACCAGGGTTATACGAACCAGGAGAATGTTTCACCAAAAACAATTAAAGGCAGGCCTGAGGGCTGTTGATTAGAGCCATTCACCTTTGGCTTGGGAGCATGACTTTCTGTCCACTAGACCAACTGATCTCTCTCTATGCCATTATTGTTGTTAAGTGCTGTCGAGTCATAGATGACTCAAAGCTACCCTATGAACGAACAACCTGGACACCTGTGTCTCTTGTTATACTACTTTATTTAAAAAATTTGAATAAATTGTTTCCAGACCAGATTCTTCCAATTTCCCTTACCTCCCCAACAAGTTGTCCAACCTCATGATTAATTCCCTCTATCCCTGCACAGTACACTTGATTAGTACACAGTACTATTGATCAGTACCCAGAACACTTAATCATTCTAATGTGAAACCTGTACTTGAACCAAGAGGCAGTCATCGGAACAGAGCAGGGAAACACCGCATGGTTCAAAATTGGGAAAGGCATGTGTCCTATCTCCACACTTTTCAACCTGTGTGCAGAACAGATTATCCGAGAGGCTGGGCTCTATGAGGAGGAGCGCGGTGTCAGGATTGGTGGAAGATCTATTAACAATCTGCATTATGCAGATGACACAAGCCTGCTTGCTGAATCTGAGGAGGACCTGATGCACTTGCTGCACAGAGTCAAGAACTGCAATTTTCAGTATGGATTGAGGCTCAAATGTCAAGCAGACAAAGATTCTCACCACCGGACCAATTGGCAGCATCAGGATGGATGGTGAAGAGATTGAGATAGTTCACAGCTTTAGTTTGTTTGGCTCCACAGTCAACACACTTGGTACCAGTAGCCAGGAAATAAAAAAAATGTATTGCGATTGGAAAGTCTGCTGTTAGGGACCGCTCAAAAGTACTGAAGAGCAATGTTGTCACTCTGGAGATTAGTCCAGGTGCATCTGATACAGGTCATGGTCTTCGCAATCGCTTGTTATGCATCAGAGAGTTGGACAATGACTAGGGAGGATAGAAGGAGAATTGATACCTTTGAGCTGTGTTGCTGGAGAAGAGTATTGAATATACAGACACACAGAACAGTGGAACAGAATTGAGAATTCAAAAATAGACCCAACTATCTAAGGTTAACTGATATTCAACAAGGAAATCAAAGCTATTCAATGGGGAAATCACAACCTCTTCAACAAATGGTGCTGGCAAAACTGGACTTTCAACTGCAGAAAGCTGAAACAGGATCCACATCTCACACCATGCACAAAAATCAACTCAAGGTGGATCAGAGGCCTGAGAATAAAGCCTCAAACCATAAAGTCCATAAGACACAAACTTAAATCAAGCTTAGAAGCCCTAGTCAATGGTATAAAGAGACTGCGAAACATAACCAGAAATGCACAATCTGAAGAAGATAAAATAGATTAGTGGGACCTTCTAAAGATTATATCCTGTGTGCATATTTAGCATTTTGTAGATGTCCTTGGCAGAAGATTTTCCCAATGCAATATGTCTTTTGGTTTCTTAACTACTACTGTCTTGGGTGTTGATTGTGATAAAATAATTGACATCATGGTTTCACCTGTTGACATATACTTAATACACTTCAGACTCTGATGGTCTAGTAGTGAGAAACTGTGCTAAACCTCTAAGGGCAAGCAGTTCAAATCTGCCAGCTGCTTCTCAAGATTGAGAAATTTGGGCAATCCCCTCCCATGCAAATAAACTCCCTCTGAAAACCTGCAACCTGCTGACAGGTCAGCTATGGGTTGATTCCAACTCAACAGTATACAACAAAAATCTTAGTAAGATGGTACATGTGGACTGGCTCACATCTTTCATCAAGCAGAAACTCTGATCTAATGAGGAACCCAACTTCAGTCTTCTCCTGGTCTGGCAGATACATCGTCTAGCCAGTTTGTTTACTATTTCATATAGTGTGGTGTTAAGGGCTTATTGGTCCAAATGACTGTCCTAGGCATTGACTTTGACTTTTCCATATGGATGAGCAAGAATATGTAAATAGGATTTGTTACCCTAGCCACTAGCAGAGTGGCTAGTCTTGCTACTAAATAGAGCAGATTCAGCATGTTTTGAGAATGTAACCACCAGTAACAAAGTAGAGAATATAGTGCATGCTCTTCATAGCTAGAGATCTTGTACCAGCCAAACCTGCTGAGGAGCAGAGAACCAGAGATATGATGTGAGACAGAGCTGACCTGGAAATGCTACCTTGTGAAACGAAAGCTAAGAGCCTTTGCCCAAATGTGTTGGTAGGTGAGGAGGGAAAGCCACAATTAGCAAGACTGAGAGACTTATTGGGAACTCTAGTGGCCTAGGGACTGCTAGGAAAACAAACAGATTCATCCTGGAAAAGGTTAAACCAGGTGGCTCCTTGGAGGGAAGGATTCTGGGGCATTGTCTGACATACTTTGGACATGTTGTGAGGAGAGACTGGTCCTTGGAGAGGGACATCATGCTTGGGAGAGTGGAGGGACGGTGCGGGAGAGGAAGACCCTCTATGAGGTGGATTGATTCAGTGACTGGGGTAATCGGGATGGGAGTGTCAGAGACAGTGCGATTGGCACAGGACAAAGCAGAGTTTAGGGCTGTTGTACATAGGGTCGCTATGAGTCGCAAGCAACTCAACGGCACATAACAATAACAACAACAACAACAGTGGCCTAGTGGTAAGAAGCTTCACTGCAAGCCTGAAGGCACAAGATTCAAATCCAACAGTTGCCCTGCAGAAGAAGGATGGGAAATCTTCTCTTGCGCAATTCACTGCCTCTGAAAATTTTCTGGAGGGTCATCAGAGGATAAAATTGATGAATAGGACATTTTAAAGATTAAATCCCTGTGTGCATCAGCAGTACAAAACAATAACAACAGCAAGAAATTTTTAACACTAGCTTAAAGTTGCCAAGTTGGAGGCTGAGGTGCCTGTGCAGACATTTTAGAAGTTATTCGGATGGAGTGATTGCATCTTGCTGCCAACATAAACTATAGATTTTAACTTTCTTGCCATATGTTCTGAGTGGTCTGCATGCTATTGTAATGAATTTTGGACCCAGTAAAGCAGTAAGATCAG